CATTTCAACAGACTCACAAATAGGTAGGGAGTAGAGGGATACGGACCATGTGCAGGCGGGTGGGATTAGTTTAGAATGGCATCATGATCAGCGCAGACTTGCCGTACTGGCTGGTGTTCTGTGGAGGTGGTTTTTGCTTACACGACCATAAATCTATGTCCTCTGCTTATTGATTTTTGCACTGTAGGCAATCATTTTGCTTTATACACTCTGCTAGAAACCATTCATGGTTGTGGAGATGAGATAGTAGGTTGTCAATGCCTCTGTCAAATCTCCTATTACTCAGTGTCACCTATGGTCAGTCGGCAGCCTCGGAATCGTAAGATTCTGGGATTAAATCCCATTCCACATCTTTAGCTGAAAAACTGAGGCTTATAGTCCAGTACAGTAATAGTACACTAACAATCAATTTAAGATGATCAGTCAAGCTCATAATGTGACTCATTTATGCTTGTTAGAAATGGCAGATATTTGAATGCAGGACCTGTTTTCTGCATATAAAAAGAATTTATTGAAGTTTTGTGCCTTTACAAAATCCCCAGGGAACATGATGCAAGACATTTTCAAGGTATGTGACTAATCTTTTTCATTGATTATTGCAGGACAGTACGATTGGTTGCAGAAGATTCTTTGGATAAAGTTATTTCTGATCAAGTGGTTGAGGCATCATTACTGAAGCTATTTCGTGCTTTCTTCTTGAATGATTTGAGCAATCAAGCTGAATTTCTTAATCTGCTGCCAGAAAATATCCAATCAAAATATAATGAAACATTAACTAATTTTCAATCATCTAAACAAACTGAGAAAAAATCAAAAGGAAGCAAAATGGATTTGAACCCTAATGAGACATTATTTAAAACATTTGGATTCATTATCAATCGAGCAACTAGTACCCTTTCCTTTGCAGGAAGAGGGGTGTTTGTTACCACAGGAAGAGTGCCAAAAGGATCAGTTGTTTGCATGTATCCTGGTACAGTAGTCATTTTTTTTAACAACTTTATTATCCTGCAATTCTTTGTTAGCATTTTATACATGTTTTGTTAAGATACTGTTTATGTCAGTGTGACCGCTTTCTTTATTTTGTAGATTAGTACCAGGCCACTTCATATTCTGTCTGCTGAAAGCAATTGTACTGGTTGCTATGTGCATGCTTTTCTCTGCTGGTATTTTCATTTTCCTTCACCCCTATCCCTGGCTTTTCACCTGGTCCTGTCTTGTTGCGTGCTCAGTGAGTCTTCCCTATCTCTTTACCTTCTCTTCTTTCTGATTGATCCAGCCCAACATTCCTACTTCTTCCCTTCCACACCGTTCCTCCTTTCTCTTAATGCACAGCCGCTGTCTTGTCGTTCGTTCTTGTCCGTCCCCTCCTCCACATTCCCACTCACCTTTCCCAACCTTGCCTTCACTTCTTTTCCTGCCCCTGGGTGGGGACAGCTTTCGTTGAGAACAAAAACCATGATTAGTTAGGGAGGGGCACAGATGAACTTCAGCACTATGTTCAAAATAACTATCACAAGTGAGACTGATAGGATTTTAAGGATGCTTGATTGAGAGGGTGATGGAGAAGAGGTGGGAGTAGGAGGAGGTGTGATTCCAGGGCTGCCATTTCTCTGTTAATGGAAGATCAAGTGGGGAGATAAAGCAGCAGCACCTAAACAGCATCAGAAGGGGGAAAAAAATGTCACTGTTGTCAGAGTGGCTGTAATACATTACTTTGGGAACATTGGGCAGCAACGGGGGAGGCTCACAGTGAAGATTGATGCTGGGACCCCAGCTATTCACAATATACATTAATGATTTGGATGTAACATCTCCAAGTTTGAAGATGATACCAGGTTGGGTGGGAGGGTGAACTGTGACGAGGATGCAGAGATTCTTCAGCATGATCTGGACAGGTTGGGTGAGTGGGCAAATCAATGGCAGATGCAGTATAATTTGGATAAATGTGAGGTTATTCACTTTGGAAGCTAAAACAAGAAGGCAGATTACTACCTGAATGGCTGTAAACTGGGAGAGGGGAGTGTGCAGTGGGACCTGGGTGTCCTTGTGCACCAGTTGCCAAAGGTAAGCATGCAGGTGCAGCAGGCGGTAAAGAGGGCAAATGGTATGTTGGCCTTCATTGTGAGAGCTTTTGAGTACAGGAGCAGGGATGTATTGTTGCAGTTATACAGGGCCTTAGCGAGGCCACTCCTAGAATATTGTGTGCAGTTTTGGTCTCCTTTTCTGAGGAAGGATGCCCTTGCTCTCGAGGGAGTGCAGCAAAGGTTTACCAGGCTGATTCGGGGGATGGCGGGTCTGACGTATGAGGAGAGATTGACTAGGTCAGGGTTGTTTTCGCTAGAGTTCAGATGAATGAGGGGGGATCTCATTATAAAATTCTAACAGGACTGGACAGGGTAGGTACAGGGAGGATGATCCGACGGTGGATGTGTCCAGAACCAGGGGTCACAGTCTGAGGATTCGGGGTAGATGATTTAGGACGGAGATGAGGAGATGTTTCTTTATCCAAAGAGTGGTGAGTCAGTGGAATTCATTACCGCAGGAAGTAGTTAATGCCAAAAAATTGAATGTATTCAAGAGGCAACTAGATATAGCACTTGGGGCGAACGGGATCACAGGTTATGGGGAGAAAGCGGAATTAGGCTATTGAGTTGGATGATCAGCCATGATCGTGATGAATGGTGGAGCAGGCTCAAAGGGCCGAATGGCCGCCTCCTGCTCCTATCTTCTACGTTTCTGTGATTGGATGGCTTTTGGCAGAGTTGAAAATTGACTCAGTATTCTTACGGAACCATAAGCACAGCGATCTTCAGATACATGGGTGTAATGTGTGATTGGGTTTGACATTTCTGTAGAAGAAATGTAATTCCAAGTTCAATATCTGATTGAGAGTCTCAGGAATTGGTGACTTTTAGATGCAGGAGGTTTCAAATATCTCTGCAAAGTTATTGTGCACTGCCACCCAGTGGAATTTCAATGGAGCTGCATGCTTTGACACATGGCTGGCATGAAGATCAAAAATACAAATGTGTGTGTTAGTTTGAAGCGATTGCTAATGTTAAGATTAAATATTTAATATTTAAAGTGGAAATCACAGTATCATACACAGACAGAAGGGTCACCGATAATGTAGTTAAATGTTGACAGTTTAAACATGACATTCCTATTGACAAAGCTAGAAAGAGTTTTCACTCTAATTTGAGATTAACCACTGCAAGCCACTCTGTATTTTCTGTGGGTGAACATGCGTATACTATATATTAATATTTTTATATTATACAATGGATTAACAGGGAATTTTTTGCCCATTGCTGTTGCTTTTACTTTTGTAGATCTTACAATGAATACAGTGAATATATGTTATATATAAATATTACATGTAAACATACAAATAGAATTCATTATTAATTGAATTTAGATTGTAACTCATTAGTTATGAATTATGGGTGTGATTTTATGCTAGTTAAATGGACCACCCTGCTGTTGCTGTTCCCTGTGATTCTATACTTGTTGATGCAACACGAGTGTGGCAAAATTCTGCTTTTGGTTGCTGGAAAAGCTCAGCAGGTCTGGCAGCATCTGTGAAGGAAAAAACAGAGTTAATGTTTCGGGTCCGGTGACCCTTCCTTAGAACTGATGGTGGCTGGGAAAACGTCAGTTTATATGCAGAAAGTAGGGAGGTGGGTGGGATGGGAGTATAGGGTAGAGCCCAAAGAGAGAGAAAGACAGTTGGACAGACAAAGGAGTTGCTAACGATCAGGCTGGGAGGGTGAATGTTGTTAATGGGGACTATTAGTGACTAACAACAGGGGGTGTGTAATGGCAGGCTATGTGGTAACAAGGCCTGGTGTGTGGGGTAGGGGGCTGGGACATGGGAGAGTTTAGGCCTTAAAATTATTGAACTCAATATTGAGTCTGGAGGGCTGTAGGGTCCCCAAGCAGAAAATGAGGTGTTGTTCCTCCAGCTTGTGTTAGGCTTTGCTGGAACACTGCAGCAAGCCAGAGACAGAGATGTTGGCCAGGGAGCAGGTGGTTTGTTAAAGTGGCAGGCAACAGGTAGTTCAGGGTGTTTTTTGTGAGCAGAACGTAGATGTTCTGCGAAGCGGTCGTCAAGTCTACGCTTCGTTTCCCCAATGTAGAGGAGACCACGTTGTGAGCAGCGAATGCAGTAGACTAGATTCTGGGAAGTACAGGTGAAGTGTTGCTTCACCTGGAAGGTATGTTTGGGCCCTTGGATACTGGGGAGGGAGGAGGTAAATGCGCAGGTGTTGCACCTTCGCCGGTTACAGGGGAAGATGCCGTAAGGCTGTGTGGAGATATTGGGGCTGAAGGAAGTGTGGATCAGGGTGTCCCAGAGGGAACGGTCCCTGCAGAAGGCGGACAAGGGAGGGGAGGGGAACATACGTCTGGTGGTGGCATCTCGCTGGAGGTGGCGGGAATGACATCTGATGATCTTCTGGATGTGGATGCTGGTGGGATGGTAGGTGAGGATAAGGGGAACCCTATCACTGTTGCAGGAGGGAAAAGAAGGGTTGAGGGCGGAAGTGCGGGAGGTGGGTCAGATCCGGTTGAGGACCCTGTCGACAACAGAGCTGGGAAATCTTCGGTTGAGGAAGAAGGTGGACATTTCGGAAGCTCCCTTGTCGAAGTTGGCCTCATCTGAACATAGGCGACGGAGACATAGGAACTGAGAGAATGGGATGGAGTCTTTACAGGAAGTGGGGTGTGAGGATGTATAGTCCAGGTAGGTGTGGGAGTCAGTGGGTTTGTAGTGGATATTAGTGGCCAGTCTATCCCCAGAAATGGAAATAGAAATGTCGAGGAAGGGAAGGGAGGAGTCAGAGATAGACCAGGTGAAAGTGAGGGCAGGGTGGAAATTGGAGGCGAAATTGATGAAGTTTTCCAATTCCAGACGAGAGACTCCATCCCATTCTCTCAGTTCCTCCGTTCCGTGCAATCTACATTCTACTCGCAAAAAAGACCCTGAACTACCTGTTACCTGCCACTCCAACGCACCACGCTGCTCCCTGGCCAACATCTCTGACTCTGGCTTGCTGCAGTGCTCCAGCAACACCTCATTTTCCGCTTGGGGACCCTACAGCCCTCCGGACTCAATATTGAGTTCAATAATTTTAGGGCCTAAACTCTCCCATGTCCCAGCCCCCCACCCCACACACCAGGCCTTGTTACCACAGAGCCTGCCATTACACACCCCCTGTTGTTAGTCACTAACAGTCCCCATTAACAACTATTTCACCCTCCCAGCCTGATTGTTACCAATTCCTTTGTCTGTCCAACTGTCTTTCTCTCTCTTTGGGCTCTATCCTATCGATTACTCCCTCCCCACCCACCTCCCTATTTTCTGCATATAAACTGACATTTTCCCAGCCACCATCAGTTCTGAGGAAGGGTCACTGGACCCGAAACGTTAACTCTGTTTTTTTCCTTCATAGATGCTGCCCGACCTGCTGAGTTTTTCCAGCAACTTTGTTTTTGTTCCTGATTTATAGCATCTTTTGGTTTTTATTCTGCTTTTAGTTGTCTGTGATTCTCAACAGATGTTTCTTTCAGGGTTTTAAATCTGTTTAATCTGTTTGAGTTAGTTGTCTAAATGTTTATACTTTGTATAAAAGTAATGGACACACAATGATTTTAGGACAGTAAAGACATTTTGGATGTTAGGTTGCTGTTAGAAATTACATTGACCCCTGAAGCCATCATCCATATACTGGTTTCCTTTGATCTTGATTGGTTCGATGTGCTGCTGCTGTCCTATTACCTGACACTATCTGCAAGACTGAGCTTGTCCATAACTACTGCCTACATCCTAACGCAGACAAAATGCTGTTAACCCATCAGCCCCATGCTTGGTGATCTGCATTAGCATCCTGGTGGCACATTGATTTGATAATTACCAAACATGTTCACAAGTCTGTGTATGGTCTCAGCCATCCTTATCTCTAACCCTTCGCAGTTCCGGGGGTTCAACTACTTTTGACCTCTTGCCTAATCTTCATCACACCACCATAGGCAGCTGTGAGTTCTCTCCTCACAAAAGAGCAGCTTCTTGACAATCTGTCTCTGTCGAATTGCACTAGGGAGTCACATGCTGTAAAGAAGCTCATTCTAATGAAGGACTCGTATCAAGTTGGGACAACATTGAATCACACTCATTTTCTTGCCAAAAGTTGTAAATTTAGGGGAAACAACTACTCCTTATGTAATACTATACAATCAATAAAAGAATGCAGATGACTTGGATTGCAAGTCTTGGATAAACATAGAACAGTATGGCATAGGAACAGTATAGGGGTGAAACAGTGGCTCAGTGGTTAGCACTGCAGCCTCACAGTGCAGGCATCCAGGTTTGATCCCACCCTCAGGTGACCATCTGTGTGGAGTTTGCACATTCTCCCTGTGCTCCAGTTTCCTTCCAAGAGTCCAAAGATGTGCAGGTTAGGTGGATTGGCCATGATAAATTGCCCATGGTGTTCAGGGATTTGTATGCTAGGGAGATAAGTCATGGGAAAAGCTGGGTGACAGGGATGGGGTGGGTCTGGGTGGGATGCTCTTCGAATGACATGCTTCTACACTGTAGGGATTCTGTAATTCTGTTCTATGATTTGTAAATGTAGCTCACGGAACCAAGCCATTGACTAAATTTGACAAGCTGGGGTTTAACCTTGTAATGAATAGTCTCATTCCCACTGAATAAATTGGCCAATCTTTGCCTCTCCTCAGCAGGTATGTATGTGTATTTGTGTATAAAATCTACTGACATTTGTAATTGTATTTTAACTAATGGTCTTTTTTTTGAGGTAACAGGTACTATCTATCAACAATATGAACCCATCTTTTTCCAGTCAATGTGCAACCCATTTATTTTTCGATGTATTGATGGCATGTTGATTGATGGGAATGATAAAGGAATTTCTAAAGTTATTTACAAGTGAGTTTTATTCACCTTTTAATTCCAGTTGTGAGGTCAGATACTGCACTTATAAATTTGTGAAATTAGTCTCTGCGAGAAGTTATAACTGAATTCAGTGATTTGCCTTTTCTCGCTTTGTAGGGGTGGAGGTTAGATAGACCTTAGGTTTAGGGTAAAAGTTCAGCACAACATCGTGGGCTGAAGGGCCTGTACTATGCTGTACTGTTCTATGTTCTATGTATCTTCCTCTGGCCTATATCTCTCCCAATATCTGAACTCCTCTAGTTCTGATCTCTTGTATTTTCATCATCCCCCCCATTGATACTGTGCCTTCAGTTGTTTAGGCCCTTCACTCTAGAATGCTCTTCCTGAGCTCTTGCTTCTTTATGACACTGCCTAAAACCTACCTCTTTCACCAAACCTTTGGACACCTGTCCTAATGTCACCATTTGCAACTTTGGATCAAATGTTATTTGATGCCTTCTTGAAGAAGGGTGTCTTTTTTTAAATCCATTTAAAATATATTGTATTTTTTATTGTACTGTCAGCCCAATGAAGAATTGTGGGGATTAGTTGTACACTTTACTTATAATTGGAAGATTCTAGGCTTTTCAAGAACTCCTCATTAATATATAATTAATCTTCCTATATCCAAATCAGAACTTCAGTACACAGGGAATTAATGCACTGATTCATTATATGACCATAAGACCTAGGAGCAGAAATTAGGCCATTTGGCCTATCGAGTCTGCTCCGCCATTCAATCATGGCTGATAAGTTCCTCAATCCCATTCTCCTGCTTTCTCCCCATAACTCTTGATCCCCTGAAAATCAAGAACCTATCCATCTCAGTCTTAAATGTACTCAATGACCTGGCCTCCACAGCCTTCTGTGGCAGTGAATTCCATAGATTCACCACTCTCTGGCTGAAGAAGTTTCTCCTTATCTCCGTTCTAAAAGGTCTTCCCTTTACTCTAAGGCTGTGCCCTTGGGTCCTAGTCTCTCCTACCAATGGAAGCATCTTCCCAACATCCACTTTGTCCAGGCCATTTCAGTATTCTGGAAGTTTCAATTAGATCCCCTCTCATCCTTCTAAACTCCAATGACTATAGTCCCAGAGTCCTCAAATGTTCCTCATATGTTAAGCTTTCTATTCCTGGGACCATTCTCGTGAACCTCCTCCAAACCCGTTCCAGGGCCAGTACATCCTTCCTGAGATATGGGGCCCAAAACTGCATGCAATACTCCAAATGTGGCCTGACCAGCGCCTTATAAAGCCTCAGTAGTGCATCCCTACTTTTATATTCAAGTCCTCTCAAAATAAATGCCAACATTGCATTTGCCTTCCTGACTACTGACTCAACCTGCAAGTTTACCCTGACAGAATCCTAGACTAGAACTCGCAAGTCTCTTTGCACTTCAGACTTCTGAATTTTCTCCCCATTTAGAAAACAGTCCATACTTTTATTCTTCTTAGCAAAGTGCATGACCTCACACTTTCCCACGTTGTACTCCATCTGCCACTTCTTTGCCCACTCTCCTAACCTGTCCAAATCCTTCTGCAGCCTCCCTGCATCCTCAATACTACCTGTCCCTCCACGTATCTTTGTATCGTCTGCAAACTTGGACCTTTATCCTTGTGTTAGGCATGCATATTCATGTTGCTAATAACTAAAGAATTAAGAGCAAGTTTAAAATAATTAATGAACTTTTTATCCTTTGAGCATTGCCCTTTATTTCTATTAAAGGTTTGCTGATTGGATTTAAAGTGAATGATATCACATTCTTGAAATGTGCATTTATCCTGTGACTGTCCAGAGATACATCCATGCATTCATTAAGAAAACTGCTAGTTTAATTCCATGGATTAATGACCTTAACATTAGTTGAATCTGGTAATGTAACACACCTGGAGTGTTTCACAGTTTGTTCATCTTGTCTGTTTCTTTCATGATTGAAGTACAAGATGTTTGCATTTAAAGGTTTTAGCAAAGAGTTGTAGCTTGTGTTGTGGGTGAGGTTGTTGACTTGCTCACCGAACTGGTTTGTCTTTGTTCAGACATTTTGTTACCATGCTATGTAATACCATCAGTGAGGCCTCCGATGAAGCAATGTTGTTCTACTCCGCTTGGAATTTATACTGTCCGGTCCGTTATGGTGAGTTGTGTCATTTCCGGTTTTGTTCTGTATGGGTTTGTATATGGGGTCCAATTCTATATGGTTGCTGAGCGCATTATAGGTTGAGAACCATGCCTCTAGGAATTCCCGTGCTGTGTTTGAGTTGGGCTACTCTAGTTACCTTGTCCCAATTAAACTGATGGCCTTCATTGTCCGAGTGTACTGATATTAACAAAACTTCATCGTGTCATTTTGCTGCTAGCTGATGTTCGTGTATTCTGATGGCTAGTTTCCTTCTTGTCTGTCCAATGTAACGTCTGTGGCAGTCGTTGCATGGTATTTTATAAACTATGTTAGTTCTGCATATTGTGGGAATGGGGTCTTTAATCCTTGTGAGTGTTTGTAATAGAGTGGCTGTGGGCTTGTATGCCACCATGATTCCTAGTGGTCGTAGGAGTCTCATTGTCAGTTCTGATATGTTCTTGATGGAGGGCAGTGTGGCCAGTGTGTTAGGGCATACTGTGTCCTCTTGGTGGTGTCTATTTAATAGGCATCTGCAGATAAAGTTGGGGGGATATCTGTTCATAGCGAAGGTTTTGTATAAGTGCTTTTCCTCTTTCCTGCATAGTTCTGGCATGTTGCAGTGAGCGGTGGCCGTTTAAACAGTGTCCTAATGCAGCTTTGTTTGTAGATGTTAGGGTCGTTGCTGTGGAAGTTGAGGATTTGGTCAGTGTGGGTTGCTTTCCTGTAAACTGAGGTTTGGAAACTCCCCTTTAGTCGTATATTCAACCCTGACATTCAGAAACAGAAACTGATCGTTGTTTTCTTCTCTTGTGAATTTAATACCCACAAATACATTGTTGTTGAGGTGGTGGGTCTCTCGAGGGTTCCTCAATACCCTCAAGAACATAAAAATCAGTGATGAGGAGATTGTGGTATCCTTTGATGTCACAGCATTATTCACGTCAATTGATATTCCATTAGCCAAAGAAACACTGGCCACATTACTAGAGGAAGCAGGAACGCAGACCAGCAGCTCCATCAGCAATGACAACATACTCAAACTACTAAATTTGTGCTTCACTACACACTTCATCTTTAGTGGTCAAGTATACAAACAGATCAATGGCATACCCATGGGGTCACCCATCTCAGGACTCATCACAGAGGCAGTCATGCAAATACTGGAACACACCACCCTCCCCCGCATTCAACCTAAATTGTAGATTCGGTACGTGGACGACATGTTATTAAACGCAACAAACTAGAAAAGACCCACCACCTCATCAACAATGTACTCGTGGGTATTAAATTCACAAGAGAAGAAGAAACCAACAATCAGCTTCCATTTCTGAATGTCAGGGTTGAATGTACAACCAAAGGGCAGTTTCCAAAGCTCAGTCTACAGGAAAGCAACCCACACTGACCAAATCCTCAACTTCCACAGCAACCACCCCAACATCTACAAACAAAGCTGTGTTAGGACACTGTTTAAACGGGTCACCACCCACTGCAACATGCCAGAACTATGCAGGAAAGAGGAAAAGCACCTATACAAAACCTTCGCTATGAACAGATACCCCCCAACTTTATCCGCAGGTGCCTATTAAATAGAAACCACCAAGAGGACACAGTATGCCCTAACACACTGGCCACACTGCCCTCCATCAAGAACATATCAGAACTGACAATGAGACTCCTACGACCACTAGGAATCATGGTGGCCCACAAGCCCACAGCCACGCTATGACAAACACTCACAAGGATTAAAGACCCCATTCCCACAACACGCAGAACTAACGTACTTTACAAACTACCATGCAACGACTGCCACAAACATTACATCCGACAGACAAGAAGGAAACTAGCTATCAGAATACACTAACATCAGCTAACAGCAAAATGACACGATGAAGTTTCGTTAATATCAGTACACTCAGACAATGAAGGCCATCAGTTTAATTGGGACAAGGTAACTAGAGTAGCCCAAGCCAAATACAGACACGCATGGAAATTCCTAGAGGCATGATTCTCAACCCATAATGCAATCAACAACCATATAGAATTGGACCCAATTTACAAACCAATTCAGAACAAAACCGGAAATGACACAACTCACCATAACGGACCTGACAGTATAAATTCCAAGCGGAGCAGAACAACATTGCTTCATCGGAGGCCTCACTGAGGATGTTACCATCATGGTAATGAAACGATTGAACAAAAACAAGCCAGCTTGGTGAGCAAGTCGGCAACCTCAGATGTTTGCATTCTTTGTGTCCCCATTCTCCCTTGTTGTCTTGGGTTGACTCTGAACTGCCCTGTGGGCAATTAGGGATGGACAATAAATGCTGCCTAGCTAGCTATGTCCTCATTCTGTTAATGAGTAAAGAATAAAAGAAGATACTGCTCATGGGCAAGATTAGGAGCATTATGACTTGATCTTGAATCTCTTTTTGATGTAATTTGGTATTTGGTACAAAAAACATAATACAAGTTGACTGTGACTTATCTGCCAATTCTCTTCCTTGATTCCACTGAGCTCTTGTCCATAATAGTATACCTGCAACTGGAAATTTTGGGTTTAGGTGATTGGAGGCACACACTCAAGTTAGATTTCTGTGGTACAGTATGTTAAAACTCTGAAACATTGCAGTATGGGATCATGAAATTATTATTTATTGGAACACTATAAACTTTCCTTTAAAAATATAGAAGGGTTACTGTCCACGCAGTTTAACAAAATAAGTACGTTTGCATGCAAAGTCTTGTTTAAATTTCTCTGGTCACTTTCAGATCATGCTGTGGGCGGGACAGGCTTGGCCCTTATAAAACCAGTGATGTCACTTGGCTTACAGAAATCCCAGTCAATCCATTAGCTGTGGGCCAATATGTCAACAACTGTTCTAATGGTATGTTAAATATTTTCATTTTATGGTGTTTGTAAAATATGTTGCTGTACATGGCATAGGTGTAATTAGTAAATGTGTAACTTACCAAAACAAAAACTAAACAAAAACAAAGTTGCTGGAAAAGCTCAACAGGCCTGCCATTACACACCCCCTGTTGTTAGTCACTAACAGTCCCCATTTACAACTACTCACCCTCCCAGCCTGATCGTAGCAACTCCTTTGTCTGTCCATCTGTCTTTCTGTCTCTTTGGGCTCTACCCTATCGTTTACTCCCTACCCCACCCACCTCTCTATTTTCTACATATAAACTGACGTTTTCCCAGCCACTATCAGTTCTGAGGAAGGGTCACCGGGCCCGAAATGTTAACTCTATTTTCTCCTTTACAGATGCTGCCAGACCTGCTGAACTTTTCCAGCAACTTTGTTTTTACTCCTGATTTACAGCATCCGCAGTTCTTTCGGTTTTTATTTAAAACAAAAACTGAGATTGTTGAAGGTAATGTTAACAATGAAGGAAGTTATGGGAGTTCCCTTTGAGTTCAGCAGAGGTTGTCTTGCTTTCATTTATCAATGTAGACAACTAAAAATAAATCCTAAAGCGTATCTTGATGTACTGCTAGATACTTTCCTTGCGCTGAACATCAAGAGTCTCACATAAGTGAACTGTGCCTACATGGAGTATATGACTCCACACATCTTATGCATGGGTAATTGGTAACACCCTCCAGGGTAAACAAAAAAACATTGTCACTGTATTCAGCCTTGCACTATGCCCTATGACCTCACATGATCTCCTTGACTTCAGAAGACAACAAAATAGGTGTTTGGTTTGTGCTATGAAGCACTATACCAATCCAATTAATTGGCAATTGCCAGACAGGAATATTCCCTCCCAGTTGGGGAACACCTCAGCAGTGAAGGACATTCAGCCTCCAATCTTCAGGTAGGTGCCCTTCAAGATACACAGCAAGGCAGAATCGCTGAGCAGAAACTGATAGCCAAGTTCCATACCCATGAAGGTGGCCTTATCCGTGATCTTGGGTTCAACAGCCAGAGACTTTTTCCTAGGGTGGAGGTGGCTTTTACGAGGGGACATAGTTTTAAAGTGAAAGGAGGTAGATATCGGGGAGACGTCAGAGGTAGATTCTTTACTCAGAGAATGGTAGGGGCGTGGAATACATTGCCGGAGAGGGTAGTGGAGTAGGCCTTATTAGGGGCATTTAAGCGGCTATTAGATATGCATATGGATGATAGTATAAGGTAGCGGTGGAGATTAGATAGACCTTAGGTTTTGGGTAAAAGTTCGGTACAACCTCGTGGGCTGAAGGGCCTGTCCTGTGCTGTACTGTTCTATGTTCTATGTCACGCATGTGCCACACTGTTGTGTATCTGTAAAACCTTTCTTACTGGTCTGTTTTGACACCATCACCTTGATAACTTGTTATGATCTCTCTATTTTAATTAGTTTGTACAGTTTCGGATTACTTATGACTTTGGTTAGACCCTGGGCATGCGACTCTTCTACCTATCATGTTATTCCAGTCATTTGGTTTGTTTCCAGCACCACCTTATTTTTAATTTTTTTGTAATTATCTCTCTGCCTCATTTATTGGATTATAGTCATCCCTTCATTTGTGATTTACCTGTTGACAATTTACTCACTGTCTAACACTCTTGGTCACCTGCAGAGACTTATTATTCAGCAATCCACTCACACCAGTTGTATGATCTTTTGATCTCTCTGCCTATAAATTCTATGTCTGTGTGCTCTTCTCTCTCACTTCACCTGACAAAGGAGCTGCGCTCTGAACGCTTGTGTTTTCAAATAAACCTGTTGGACTATAACCTGGTGTCATGTGACTTCCGACTTGGTACCATTTCCTGGCACCGTAAGCCCAGAAGAAAGATAAAAGAAAATGTGAAAATCTCATCTTGTTGAGCTTCATCTTGTCCAGGCTCAGCAGGTTTAGTCACAACTCCCTCACTCAGGCTTCAGGTTAAAATAGCCACTGAGGCTGTAATTACATCAATAGCATCCTTTCTGTATATTTGAAGCTGACAGGGCTCAATTTACTAGAATAACACCAACCACATAGGTTCAATTCTCATTCCAGCTGAAGTAGATTTGACATTTTCCTCTTTGGGGGCTGTTGTGGCACAGTGGTAGTGTACCTGCCTCTGAAATAGAAGGTCTTGGTCAAAGTCCCATCTATCCTGGACGTGTGCGATAACATGTCCAAACAGATTGATTAAGAATAATTACCCTGGCAGCTTCACGCAGGCATTCTTGCTGCCTGTAATTTAAACTTGCAATAAGCTTGATTGGAGCAGGAGGTAATGGATATGTCCCCTGCTCTGTTGTAACTGGAAATTGATTCAATCACTTTTGTTTCTACACAAACATTTATCTACCCAGCATGGATAACCTTTATTTGAACTTAAAACTAAGTACTTATGAACATTAACAAGAAAGGACCAAATATGATAGACATCACATTTTGAATTTTGTTACAACTACAATTAATTAGTGATGACCATTTGAGAGTGGGGGCAATTATTACCTTTCAATTGATTAATGAGAAACCTTGTCAATGTTGGCAAATGTCAAGGATTCAGATATAATTGGTGGCATGGAATATGAAAGAAATTGACAAATGCAGAGAAATAAAGTCTTGCATTTATATAATGTTTGTCACTGTGTTAAGGCATTCAAAGTCTTCTTAAAACTAATGGGTTTTTTTGAAAATACAACAGTCAATTTATACATAGATAGTTAATGATATTGTTCAGGGATATATATTGACTAGAACACTAAAGCGAACATTTTTGCAGTTAGGAAAATAGATGATGAATGCACGAGGTTATTGATATGAAAGGAATACTGCCCTTAGCAAACTCAATTAAAGATCTATTGCAGATAAGAAACATATGAAGGGAAACTAACTATAACTGTAACTTTGACGGAGAGTCATTGTAACAGTACCTTGTTTAAAAGTGAACAATGTCAGCTCTATCAGAAGTTTTGGCAATGGTCAACATGTGACAGACAATCATTATTACATTCAGGAGTAGACTCCCAGAACAAGACCAGTGAAATGACCACAAAAAAACCTTTCCTAATAATTGTGTATTAAACCAGAATTTGAAAGTTAGTAACAAGCTTCAAGTACAGTAATAAACAGAGAATTAAGGAAAAAGTCTGCAAATTTAATTCATATGTTTAAGTAAAGACTAATCCTATTTTCCTTTGTTTCAGAGAAAGCAGCCAATGTATGCTATCAGGAGTTTGATGTTCCTACAACATTTCCTATAGAGCTCCGTCAGTACATTCCTAATGTTAACTATGGTCATAATGTGGAAAGGTTGGTCCCAACTGATAGTTCAGCCAAGATTTATTATTTTAGTATTAAAAATTAGCATCAAAATGTATTGAATAAAAAGCTTTATATATATCTATCTAAAGCCTTGTTCAGTTAGAGATTTAGACAGTGATCACTTATACAATGCATAGAAGCAATACTGCAGACTTAATCTGTTCATATTTGTCACTGATTGATACTCATTTATATTTATACAAAGTATTTGATGGGTGTCATTCAGTTCTATGATGAGTAAGACTGCCAAAGTGTTGCACAGAACATGACAGGGCACAAAATACAATTACAGAACAATTTGCATTTTTATAGAACCCTTAAGGTACTGGATAGAAAAAGAGCAAAGTATGTTCTGTGGTGGAGGAAGTCTAAAATGAGGTGCAAGCCTTAAAATTAGAGTGAGCCTGTGAGAGGTTATGGGGTAATTTCAGAAAACACATTTTTGCACAATGTATATTAGAAATCTATAAATATCCTCTGTCCCATAATCAATCTGTTTGGACATGGTATGACACACGTCCAGGATAGATGAGACTTTGACCAAGACCTTCTGTTTCAGAAGCAGATACACTATCACTGTGTTGTGCCTAAATTAATCGAAAATCTGAAAATAGATTGATAGATTTTTGTTTGGCAAGGTTATCAAGAGTTACAGATGAAGGTGGTTAAGATCCAGACCAGTTGTGATCTAAGTTAATGACAAAACAGACTTGTGGGACTGAAGGTTGTGCCACTGTTCCTACGATAGACAGATACTGAGATGTAATTAAACAGTTATGGGATATGACCAAAGAAATAGGAAAAGGTAGGACCAGTAGGTAATTTATAAAAAACATATTAAAAACTAAATAAATAAAAGAGAGATGCAGGGCCAGGAATGTTGGTTGCTTGAGGAACTCTGGCTCAGAGTTGATGAGATGGAATCTGAGCTTGGAACACTGCAACACGTTAGGGAGGAGGAGAATTACCTGGACACTGTTTCAGAAGGCAGTCATATCCGTTAGATTAACTACCTCAAATTTGGTCAGTAGTCAGGGACAGGAGGCTATGACTACCAGTGAGGCAGGTAGAGGGATCCAGGAAGTAATACTGAAGGAGCCTCAGCCCTTGAGCTTGTCTAACAAATTTGAGATTCTTGTCCCTCTGTGGATAAGAGCGGGGGCTGCAGGGAGGATGAGCAAACTGACCATATCACTGAGGTACAGGGAGCCATCCAAGAATTGGGAGAAAAGAAAAATGTAGTTGAATTAAGGATTTTATGGTCAAGGGAATAGACATTGTTCTGTCAGGCTGGTTTGAGACTTTGACAAGGTTGGATTTCAGATTAGTCATGGGGTTGATTGCTTTCAGAAAATGAAAGGAAATGACAGTATGTGTGAATGTCATATTGTACGAAGGAACCATAAAAATGTAGGGAAACTCAATAGTGGAACAAATTTAAAGGCTCTGTATCTTAATGCACAGAACTTTTAGACTAAGGTAGATGAACTGACAGTACAATCAAGGTAAATGAATATGATCTCATAGCCATTATGGAAAATGGTTACAAGGAGACCAAAACTGGGAACTTAACATTCAGGGATATTAGATCTTTCAGAGAAATAAGAGGAATGGACAAGCTGGTGGAGTAGCACCGTTAATAAAGAGATAAACGAGGACAGTTGTGAGAGGTGATCAAGGCTCGGATGATTTAGGCTTCATTTGGGTGTTGTTAAAAAAAAAAAAATCAACAAAGAGAAAGGAGACATTCGTAGGAGTAGGGTACAGACCACCCAAACAGTAGCCACTCTGTGGGAAAGATTATAAATCAACAACAAATAGGAACATATAAAAAGAATAGAGGAATAATTATAGGTGACTTTAATCTTCATGTTGATTAGATTAATCAAATTGGAAAGGGTAGCTACGACAATGAATGTGTTAAGGGTAGTTTCCTAGAGCATTATGTCATGAAGCCAATCAGGGAGCAGGCTGTCTTGGATTTGGAAATGGGTAATGAAGCAGGTGTAATACATGACCTCTGAATGAAGGACCCTCAGGAATTAATGTTCATAACATGACAAAATTTAACATTCAGTTCGAGAGTGAGGAACTTGGGAAAAAAATACCAGTGTTTAACTTAAATAAAGGGAATTACAATGAAATAATAAAAGAGTTAGCTAAAATAAATTGGGCAGATAGATTAGCAGGAATGACAGTAAGTGAGTAGTGACAGATATTTCTCAGCAAAAATAAATCCCTGTAAGGAAGAATAGTTCTAAGAGGGGGATAAACCAGCCATGGCTAACCAAAGAGACCAAAATCAGTGATACCTCGTAAGGCTGGAATAGATTCAGCATCCAGCAAAGGACAACTACAAAGAGAATAAAGATAGAGAAAATAAGCTAAGAGGGAAAACTATTGAGAAATATAAAAACTGACGATAAGAGCTTCTTTAAATATATAAAAATGAAAATAGGTCAAAGTGAATATAGACTCTTTAGAAAATGAATCTGGGGAGATGGTTTTGGGGAACAAGAAAATGGCGGAGGAATTTAGCAGATCTTTATGGTGGAAGATACTTTGAACATTCCATTCTTACTAAAGAATATGGGGGAGAATTAAGTAGCACCACCATCACTAAATAAGTAATATTAAACAAATTAATGGGACTAAAGGCAGATAAGTCCTCAGACCCTGATGGCTCGCATCCTTGGACAGTGGATACATTGGTTGTAATTTACCAAAAATTGTTAGATTCTGGAGAAGTACCAAAGGATTGGTAAACTGCTGATGTGACACTCCAATTCAAAAAGGGAAGGGGGCAAAAAGCAAATAACTAAAGGCCGATTAGTTAAATTTTAATGTCTCATTAGTCTGTTGGAAATGTATTGGAATCAATTAAGGAAATTGTAACAGAACATTTAGAAAATCATAATTTAATCCAGCAGAGTCAACATGGTTTCATGAAAAGGAAATCATGTCTGACTAATTTACTAGAGCTTTCGAAAAAGTCTCAAGCAGAGTGGATAGAGGGGAACCAATAGGTCTGTTGTATTTGGACTTCTAGAAGGCATTTAGCCAGGTACCTAAAAGGTACATAAAGTAAGAGCCCACAATGTTGGAGGTAGTATTTTGGAGTGTGTAGAGAATTGGCTCATGGGCAGGAAACAGCGAGTGAGGATAATGGTTCTTTTTCAGGTTGGCGACCCCTGACCAGTGGGATTCTGCAGGGATCAGTGCTGGGATTGCAACTGTTTACAATATATTAATCACTTAGAGAAGGGAATATAATGTACTGTTGCCATATTTTGCAGACGACAGAAAAATAAGTGGAAAGGCAGGTTGCAAGAAGGATACAAGCAGTTTAGAGAGAGATATTAATAAAAAGTTGCCAAATGGTTAAATAATGTGGGAAAATACAATGGTTTTATTTTGAAAGAAGGAACAAAAGTACAGGAAATTATTTAAATGGAGAATACTGGCAGAAAGCTGCGACACAAAGGGACTTGGTGGTATTTGTGCACAGAACACAGAAAGCTATCACATAGGGGCAGCAGGTAATCAGGAAGGCTAATGGGATGTTGGCCCTTATTTCAAGGTGGTTGGAGTATAAGAGTAGGGAACTCTTACTGTAACCATACAAGGTACTGGTGAGACCACATCTGGAGTATTATGAGCAGTTTTGGTCCCCTTATTTAAGGACACATAAATGATAGAGGATTGGTTGACTGGCAGCAGGCAGAGAGTGGGGATAAAGGTGTCTTTTTCAGGACGGCAGCCCATGACTAGTGGAGTTCCGTAGGGGTCTGTGTTCGGACCACAGCTATTCACATTATACATTAACAATCTGGACAAAGGAACTGAGGGGATTGTTGCTAAGTTTGTGGATGACACAAAGATAAGTGGAAGGACAGGTATTGTTGAGGAAGTGGGGAGGCTGCAGAAAGACTTGGACAAGTCAGGAGAGTGGGCAAAGAAGTGGATTATGGAGTACGGTGTGGGAAAGATTGAGGTTTCCCACAAGAAACAGCAGTGGATCAGCAGTCAAAGAGTGTAGGCTTGGGGTGCAGTTCTGCAGGTAATTGCTACCAGAGAGTGAGGTAAGGTAATGAAGGGAATTGTAAACAAGCACAATATGTTGAATTCAAATCATTAGAAGGATAGAGGAGCAGCAGAGGTAGTACAGATAAACGCGTTGAATATGGAGGTTGGAAATTTGATTTTTTTCCCCGAATGAATCTCAAAAGAGCTCAAAGGAGAAGCTGAGAATGTAAAAGTATAAATAAGGAAGTGACAGAATCAGGTAATCTTGGAAGCAAGTGGTCTATATCACTAATCTTGTACAGGTTTGAATCACTTAGTAGTTCAGTTTATCAAAGTAACATGCCTGCTTACTTACCATGCACATCTAAAATTCAAGACTTGGTGCACACATAGAGACACTTACAGTTTTTGGCAGGAATCCTTTTGCTTATTTTGGAGAAAGTTGTAGCTTATCCAGAATTAAGATTGGTGCTGCAGAATCAAAGCCAGTTCTTATTGCTGATAGAAGGAAATTTATCTGTACCTGTTGCCTATGTGGGGCAGGAATTTAAATAGTTATAAGCAATTAGGAAAATAAGATTATAGATGTGCATGAAAATATTGGTCCACAGACTTGTAAAAAGGCAGAAAAGTAAGGAATTTGTCACTTGTTTAATTAATTCTCTTAGTTAATAATGAGTTAGCATCATGTAGAGGGATAATCTAAATTCAGGAAACCAAATGTGGAAAGAGTTTGAGTAGACATGAGAAATGATAAAGGCAAGATGTCACTTGTTGCAATGGTCTACAGGTCCCCTAACAGAGGAACCACATGGTGGGATAGACCATAAAGGAAGAAAAGACAAGATATTATCAGAAAAGCACGACAATGATCATGGGAGATTTTGATCTATGTTTAGACTGGAAAAGATCATAAGACGTAGAATCAGAAGTAGGCCATTCAGTCCACTGAGTCTGTTCCAATAGTCAATGAGATCATGGCTAATTTGATAATCCTCAATTCTACTTTTTAAACCCATAACCTTTGATTCTTTTACTGAATAATTAAAGACCCAGCCTTGGCAGCCCTCTGCAATAAAGAACTCCATAAATCACTCTGCTCTGAGTCAAGAAATTCTTCCTCATTGTTGTCTTAAATGGGCGACCTCTTCCTCTGAGATTATATTTTCTGGTCATAGACTCACCCACCAGGGAAAAGAACCTCTCCACATCTACCCTGCCAAGTCTACTAAGAATCTTGTATGTTTTGAGAAGGTTGTCTCATTCTTCTAATGAGTACAACCCAACCTACTTGACTTCTCCTAATAAGATGACCCCTCTGTATCCAGGATCAGCCTGCTGAACCATATCTGGTTTGCCTGTAATGCAAGTGTGTCTTCCTTTTGAGAAAGGGCCCAAAACTGTTCAGTGTTTCCATCTGTGGTCTGACTATTGTCTTGTATAGTTTTAGCAAATCCTCTGTACTTTTATACTCCATTTCCTTTGAAATAAAGACCAACATTGCATTTGACTTCCCTGCTACCTTCTGAATTTGGTTGATAGCTTTTTTGTGAATTCAAGATCTTTCCGTTCTGTAGCTTTCTGCAGTTTTTCTCCAGTTACATAATATTCAACTCTTCTATTCTTCCTGCCAAAGTGCATATCCCCAGATTTTCAAACATTATATGCCATCTGCCAAGACTTTGCCCACTCACTGAAACTACCGAAATCCCTCTGCAGACCTATTGTATCATCCTCACCACTTGCCTTCCCAATATTATTGTATAATTTGCAAACTTGGCCATAGCACATTCAAATTTCCTCCTCCAAGTCATTAATATACATTGAATAAAATTGTGGTGGCCCCGGCATTGACCTCTGTGGTGCTCCAGAGTCATAGGTTCCGTAGATATCCTGAAAATACCCCTATCCCAACTCTGTCTTCTGTTAGTTAGCCAAGACGCAAGCCATGCTGATATATTACCTTCAGCACCTTAAGCTCATCTTGTTAAGGAGACAAATGTGTGGTACCTTATCAAACATTTTCTGAAAATCCAAATATATCCACTACTTCCCCTTTATCTATCCTGCTTGTTACCTCCTCAAAGAATTATATTAAGTTTGTCAGGCATGAGTTTCCCTTCATAAAACCATGCTGACTCTCCTTGATTATATATTCCTAAAAGCTTTGCTATTACATATTCAAAATAGACTCCAACATTTTTCCAATGTTGTAAGTTTCACTGGCCGATAGTTATCTTTTTTGTCTCATTTCCTTTTTAAATAAAGGTGTTACCTTGGAAGTTTTCCAATCCTCTGGCAAGTCATATATGCAAAGTATCTTTGGTGAAGAGTTCATAAAATGTTTCCGGGATGATTTCTTAAAACAGCATGTTCTGGATCTAATCAGAGAGCAGGCTATAGTGAGACTGAACAATTAATACTGAAAAATAAGGAAATAGTCACTCTTTTTGCAATCACCTTGCAATGAAGACCAGTTTGCTTTCCCAATTGCTTGCTGCAGCAGCCAGCCTACTTTCATTGACTGGTGCACAAGGACATCCAGATCCCTTTGTATATCCATGCTTCCCAATATATCACCATTTAAATAATACTCTTCTTATCTGTTTTTCACACTAAAAGTATATATCTTCACATTTAGCCACATTTGTACAGCATTTGCCCACTCACTCAATTGCCCAATTTTTGTGCCATCAGCAAACATGGAAATGTTGCATTTATTTCCCTCATCCAGGTCATTTATACATATTGTCAATAGCTGGGGCCCAAACACTGATCCTTGAGGGACCCCACTAGTCATAGCTGGCCACTCAGTTCAACCAATCCTTGATTGGTGCCAGTATATTACCCCAATCCCATGTGATTCAACTTTTCCCACTAACTTCATGAGGAAATTTAGCATGAAGTATTCTGAAAGTCCAAATACATATTCTCCTGGTTCTCCCATTTCTATTCTACTAATTATATTTGTTAAAAAAAAGCTCCAGTCAACTTGTTAAGCATGATTTACCTTTTCATTAACCCATAAAAACCAAAAGAACTGCTGATGCTGTAAATCAGGAACAAAAACAGAAGTTGCAGGAAAAGCTCAGCAGATCTGACAGCATCTGTGAAGAAAAAAAAAATCAGAGTTAACTCCCACTCTAAAAGCATTGTTCATACCTTTCCTCAGACCTGGGTCATCGGACCCAACGTTAACTCTGGATTTTTTTCTTCACAGATGCTACCAGACCTGCTGAGCTTTTCCAGCAACTTCTGTTTTTGTTCATTAAACCATGCTGGATTTGTCCACTCCCCTTAATGCTTTCCAAATGTTCTGTTATTATGGTTTTTAATCATTAGACTCTAGCAGTTTTTCCACTACTGGTCTGTAATTGTGTTTATTTTCTCCCTCTCGTTTTAAATAGTTGGGTTACTTTTGCCATCCTCCAATCCATAAGAATGTCCTCAGATCCGATAGAATGTTGGAAGGTGCCCATCAATGCATCCACTGTTTCCAGGACCATTTCCTTTAGTACTCTGGGATGTAGATTATGAGGCCCTGTTAGTTTGTCAGCCTTTAACCCCATTAATTTCCCCAGCACCATTTTCCTATTCATGCTGATTTCCTTTAATTCCACCCTCTCACTAGAACCTTTGGTATCCCTAATAGTCCTGGGAGTTTATTTTTGTCATTTTTATGAAGATAGAACTGAAGTATGGGTTCAATTCTTCGTCCATTTCTTTGTTCCCCATTATAATTTCCTGGATTTTGACTACAAGGGAATTACATTTACCTTTACTAATCCTTTCTTTCTCTTTACATATTTATGGAAGCTTTTATGTTCAATTTCTATATTTTCTTCAAATTTACTTTCACTCTGTGCCCAAACCCCCCACCTACCGATCAAACTTTTCCCCTTTTTTGTTCAATTCTCATTGTCATTGAATGTCAAGTGTGATGGTTAGTTTTTGTTGGAGATGGGCAGTGCCTGGCACTTTTTTGGCACTATTTCTTCAGTGTTAGTGGGTCAAAATCCTAGAACTCCCACTCTAAAAGCATTGTTCGTACCTATGTCAAATGGACTGCAGCTATTGAAGGCGGCAACTGACCACCACCTTCTCTAGGGCAATTAGATGTGGGCAAGAAATGCTGGCCCAGTCAGTGATGGCTAAATTCCAAAAATAAATAATAAAAAAAATCACAGAAACCTCCAGTATATTTATTTAACAATGTAGTAGGGCAAAATAGTTAGAAAAATCAGAAAATCAATGCAAAACTAATGGAAGAGGGGTTAAAATGAATTCGATAAAAATATGCTTGAGAGAGGATATGACGGAATTATGAAGGAGTACTTGACAACGTTACAGTAACATCTAATTAAAGTGTTCAGATTTATGAAGGATTTCAGACAGTAAAAAGTGAAATATTATTTCTGCTTATTTGTGAATTGGTAACATTGGTATAAATTTTGGATTAGTATTGAGAATGAAGACGAAAGTTGGAATCAGCCTTTTTCCTGCAATAATAGTGAATAAATTATTTATGAAAATGGTAACATTGTTTAAAGTTGAGTTGGTTAAACACAAATCTTAAACATTATGGTGAAAGACCAGGAATACAAACAAAACCAGCAGCTCGCGAGCTAACACAGGGAATAAGGATTGAAATAGCTTTCTGCTGCATTTTCATGATGATTTGTGACACTTAGAGATTTTGTAATCTACACGTTTCATCTGTTTTTGTCCTTAAAATTTCTTATAATTTGTTTTGTATTGCAGGCCTTTGCGATGTGTGGTTCTTGTGGCACTCAGAGACATAGAAAAGGGAGAAGAGTTATTCTCTAATTACTACACGATAATACATTGAAAAAATAGGACATGAATAACATCAGGAGCTTCATTCTGTGCAATGTGGAGTTTCACATTTTAAATATTGAGTCAATGGAGAATTTGATTTTCTTTTGATGATGTGTTATAAGTGAGCGCTACCAATCACTGCCACCATCCTCCTTTCCCTACTAGAGTGCAAGGTCCAATTTGTCTAAAGTTGTAGAGGACAGCCATAAATGAGAGTCTATGTCTGAAACAAGATGTAGTCATTGCACAGTAGCAATCTGGTACAAAGACCTCACTAAAGCTCAGGATAACAACTGTCCCTATTGAGATCCTATGATGTTCTGTTTTTCTGCACCATAGACTTAAGAAATCATCAGATTGTGTGGAAATTAATGCAGACATCAGCATTATCCGTTCAAACCTGTTGTTGCACAAGTTGGATTTTTTGTTTGAAAATCTTGCCTAGTCGCAGAGCTGTGGCTACAAATGGAGTATAGACAGTTGAACAGACAAGTGTGCAGTCAGGTTCTATATATCTAGTTGTATCAATCTGAATTGATTCTTTGGAATAATGTAAAAGTTAATTAACTGAATATGCTTCTTTCTTGGGCTGTTGCAGATATTCATTGAAGCAGAAAGGGCCTGGTGAATTGGGATAAATTGGACTGGCTGAGCTTCGGTAAACTTGATTTTCATCATAATTGTAGTCTATTGGTGCTACTTCTGAAAAAAAATTCAAATGGACCTCTTTGCTGACTTCATAATTTATTTATGTATCATGTGCACTGCTGCTTGAGTTAAGCAGCCATCCAGATGTCAAACCTAAAACAGATTAAATTGTAATGAGCTGGAAATTCTTTAAATTGGGCTATTACTTTTTCAAAATTTATTCATGGGATGTGGGTATCACTGGCTAAGCCAGCATCTATTGCCCATCTCCACTTGAGTTAAGAGTCATCCACATTACTTGTGACTCCAGAGCCATCTGTAAACCAGACCAGGTAAGGATGGCAGCTTCATTTGCTAAACAATTGACAATGGTTTCTGGTCGTTGCTACACTCCTACTCCAGATTTTTATTGAATTCAAATTCCACTATTCCATTATGGTGAGATTTGAACCCAGAACTCCAGAATATTACCCGAGTCACTAGATTAATATAATTGCTAGATATTGGAAATTGCTGGAGAAACTCAGCAGGTCTGGCAGCATCTGTGGAAGGGGAAAAAAAGCAAACTTAACATTTTGAGTCTGGTAACTCTTCATCAGGAAAAACTGGGATTTATGCTGAGGTGCATTTATGCTGAGGTGCTGGGGAGGTAAGCCGGAGAAAAGAGAGCAAGATGACAGGGATAGGAAACAAAAAGAGATAATGGATAGCAGATCAAAACATTAGATGAATAGGAGATTATAAAAATAAATTATGAGAAAATGGATTAGCTGTGCTGAATGCAAGCCATATAAATGTGATAATGGGCCAAAGAGTACATGGGAATGGGTGGCTGTGTTTAAAGCAATTCATATCATAACAGGACCAGGTGTGAGGTGGGTAGTAAAAACATGGAATCAGGCTCAAAAGTTATTGAACTGGACATGGAGTCCTAGAGGCTACAGGGTTCTCAATTGGAAAATGAAATGTTCTTTGAACTTGTGCTAAGCCTCACTGAAGGACTGCAGCAGGTGGAAACAGATGTTGGCCAGGGAACATGGTGGTGTATTGACATAGCAAGCAACTGGAAGCTCACAGTTAGTTTTGCAGACTGGCCATAGGTGTTCTGCAAAGCTGTCACCCAGCCTACATTTCATCTCCCCAATGTAGAGGAGGCCACATTGTCTGGGACCTTGGATTGAGGATGGAGGTGGTAAAATGGTAGCTCTTACACCTGTGATTTCATAGGAAGGTGCTGTGGGAGCATGAGGAAATGTTAGGGATGAACGAGGAGTGTAATAGAGTGGCCACTTTTTCTTGGAAAGAAAACCACCGCCTCTGCCCAGCCAAGCTTGTCCTCACTTGGAACAACTTCTCCTTTAACTCCTCCCTCCTCACCCTCCAAGCAGTGATTCACCTGTACCTCACTCAATCTGTATTCATTGTTCACAACGTGGTTTCCTCTGGGTGACAAAATGCAAGCTAGGTGATTGCCTTGTGAAAATGACCCCAAGCTTCCAGTTGCCTGCCATTCAACACACTGCCATGTTTCCCACACCAACATTTCTGTCTCAGGCCTGCTGCAGTGTTCCAGGGAGCCGAGAAAGTGAATATTTCAAAGGTAATTCTCAGTTATGTGTAAAAAAATTGGTTAAAGAGTAGAAAATAATTGACATTTATTGGGTGATTTGAATTAGATTGGGGCTAGGCTGAGAACTTAAGAACACAAAACAAAGGACTTGGAGGAGACCAGTCAGCCCCTCAAACGGGCCTTCAGCAAGATCATGGCTGATCTGCCCCAGGCCTCAAATTCTCGTGCCAGATCAACATAGCAGTCAACTCCCCAACATTTCAACAATCGAGCTACCAGCTTTAAATACTGTGACCTAGACTCCACAACTGAGGTAGAGAATTAGACAATCACTAGCCTGACAGAAGATATTCTTTCATATTTCCAGCTTTAAATGAGCATCCCCTTATTCCCATACATGTTCCTTAGTTCAAGATACCTCCACTAGCAGAAACATCTTTTCATCTACTTTGGCAAGCCCCCTCAGAATCTTGTATGTTTCAATTAAGATCACTCCTCATTCTTCTAAACTCCCATGAATAAAGGCCTGATCCGTTTAGCTATTCTTGACAAGTCATCTTTTTTATCCCAGGAATCAAACTAGTGAATCATTTTTGAACAGTCTCCAACATTAGTATATAGTTTTTCTAAGTATGAGGATCAAAATTGTACTGAATCCCAAGTGCAGTCTCACCAACATCTATACCAACATCAGTTGTAATAAGACATTCATCTTTTTAGCCTCTAGCAATAAAGGCCGTGTCCATTCACCTTAATTACTTGCTGCACTTGCATACTACATTTTTGTGTTGCATACTTAAGAAAAATCAGATCCCTTCACACCACTTTTCTGGAATCTCTCTGCAGTTAACAGTCTACCTGTTGATCCTTCTTACATTAGTTTCCATCTGCCAAGTTTTTGCCCACTCACACTCAATCTATTCATTTTGCTTGCTGATTCCTTATGTTCTCATTGCAACGTGCCCTCACTTATTTTTGTATTAGCAGCAAATTTTGATATGTCAGACTGTGCTCCCTCCTTCAAGTCATTCATATAGATGGCAAATAATTGAGGCCCTAGGGCTGACTGAGTCTGCTCTCCACTAGTTGGGTCTTCCCAAACTGAAAAAGATCCAATAATTCCAATTCATTACGCTAACAAATCTTCAATCCATGCTAATTACCCCCAATTCAGTACAACACAGGGTTTCTCATTAACTGTTTGGATCACTATAGTCTTTGCACATGGGGCAAATTTACAAGGCAGTGGAAGGCTGCAGCAAGTCTAGAAACTAAAGAAACAAGCGAGATAAAATATCCCAAGTGGTAGAATAATAATAATTACTTGTTTAATGTCATCTGCTAAGATAATGAACAGAAAAAGTAAAAGGAGCAACACATGAATGGAATAATTATGGAGTGAAGAGCTAACACTTTAGAGGAGTCGTACAAGGCTCAAAACATGAACTTTTTTCTCTCTTCACAGATGCTGCCAGACTTGCTGAGTTTCTCCAGCATGGTTTCAGATTTCCACCATCTACACTATTTTGCCTTTAACTGCAATAAATCTGACAATGCATCCAACCAATGCAGAATAACAGTCAAAGCCAAGTGCATATTGTGCTCAAACAGCAGAATACATGTTGAAGGAAGTGAAGATCAAACGGTGTAATGCTCTATTAGCCTACATCTGAAGGGCTGTTCCTAGTTCTGTTCACTGCAACATTAGGGAGATATTCAAACATTGAAGGCAGTGTAAAGAAGAATACTGTTCATACTTTAAAAGGTCTGAGTTATAAGCAAAGATTGAAGAAACTTGACCACCTTAGTGTTGAAAGGTGGTGATCTTTGGTGGTGTGTGTAATTGCAAACTATGAAAAATTATGTTTAAAACAAGAGGCAAAAGATCAAACCAGCAAAAGGCAAGTTTAGACTTAATCTTTACTTCGGACTCTATTCCGTGTGTTGATTGCATTTAGTTTATTGCAGGCAAAGAGCTCATCATTTAACAATCAAGTAGATACTGCCAAAGGGTGGAATTATTCTGCTACCAAACACAAATTAAAAAAGGTGCCGAAACTACAGCCTGCAAAGGCATCAAAACTCACCTTTCCTGAATCAGTATATTTTGCAATTCCTATTTTTGGTTATGTGCCACTGTTTCCCACTTGAAATTACATTTATTTCAAACAACTCCTACATGATAGAAGTTGAAGCTGAAGTAAACTTGTGGTGTCAGCCAATGTTAAACCTACTGTCTGCAGATCTAGGTACCTAATTTGGGTAAGTTTACATGTTTCAGAGCTTATTTTGAAAAACTGTAAGGTGTAAGGATGCTAGTGGGTAAAGTGTTTGTTGTTAAATGAGTAGGTTGCAAGATTCTTGAATGGGTTTGTGGGGTTGTTGGGTCAGATCAGGGAGGGAGGCAGTGCATCAATCTGAATGATTGGGGTATCAGTTATATGGTTAACTGAGAGTTACACATATTTTTCCTAATATCCAGATGTCAGAATCAGGGAGATCAGAAGGTTTTGACTGAACTTAATTGGGAGATTTCTCTTGGAGGGTTTTGGGAACAGGGGAATTACTGATCACTACTTCAGACTTTCCAGGCAATTCCCATAGAGTTGATATATTTGGGACTTCCAAGGTATCCCACATTGCATCTTTCAGGGCATGTCCTGTCTCCAACTATCCACACACTGAAAGATCTGGATCAATATTTCTGAAAGGTATAGCATAATGGGTGGGTTCTCCTTTAAACTGTTTAAATGCCCACAGAAGATCAAATTTAAGCAGGGCATCAATTTCAGCTACCAGAGAGTCACAAGAACAAAAGCTGCTTGGGCACAAAAAGTCTTTCCCCTGCAAAAATATTGAAAACTGCATATATTGCCTTGGCTGCTATTAGCCATTCAATAAATGTATCAATTAACGCATTAAATCAGTTTAGAGACAGGTTGAGTAGTTTATAGATACAGCTTTTAAAAATATCACAACTTTACAGCCAAGCCTTCAAATATATTAGGAAATATGGTCCTGGTTGCAAAGGTGATGAGACCATGTTACCAAAAGATTGTGAAATACCACTCAGAATTTCATTGTAACTCTCTATCTTTGAGCAGCCATGAACTGCAATACTTAATGCAGGTATTTCTCCTATAACACGATAGTCACGCTCTTGTATGACCTCACGCTATAGAAAATCATGTTATAGGGAAATAGTTATACCTGAACAGTAGAAAGTTCACGTCATCCAAACAGTGTCCACTATTCATCAATCTCATTACAGCCAATTTTGCGCTGATGAAATGTGTTATAGCAGAAGTACCTGTAGTTCATATTCTCTGACGATCAAGCAGATTTTTCTACTATACTTTTGATCAACATCATCAACAAATCGTACTGGTGATCTATGTCCCACATTGTTTGTGTGCCATAAATTTTGCTTGGGTTTCTTAAATGTAATTTAGTACATTACATCATATTCCTTTGGGTAAGTTTTAAAACATTAACTGTATTCCTCATTATCAACTTTGAAGTTACACTTGATTAAAATAAAGATGAGACTTCCAGACCTTTTATTTCTGGAATGGTGTACACCACATATCAAGATACAACACAAGTACAAAATAATGCTGAACAAAAACCTTCAATGTTTATATACAAATATTAAAACCAAATGCAACATTAGAATTTTCCCCTTGAATACCTTCAAAACTAAACGCTGTCTTGATTGTCACTAATTAGCCCATTTTTTTCACCGGCAGTTCTGCTAACTCTGAAACAATACAGAAGAGGAGCAGTAGCACCATTTCTTCAGAACAGTATTGCTGGTGTTTACCAAAACATTTTAATCAACATATCTGTATTGATTACCAATACCACGTTGTTTACAATTTTTCACATTGTACAAACTCCCTCTTCTGTTAATACATCAACTTTTCAGATGTCTGTTACAATTGCAATAGTTAGAATGTCAATTAATCACTATTTTTCTTTCAATGAGTAATTTTAATTCAGACTACAGACTTTGGTTAAAAATAAATATTAGGAACCTCAAAATATTTGCAGTACAATTGTCTATCTTCAGCCAATAAGGAAAACTGCATAATTTTAAATGCCTTAATTGTATGCACTTTGATATTCTTAAGCCATGTTCAGCTTTCAAGTAAATGGAATTCATATTAGGAAACTAATCATTTAGACTAGTGAGAAAAAGCATCATCTTCATTGTGAAGTATTGCTATATTCTTTACAGCACCTGTTACACTTCCAAACAAATTAATATATGAACTGACTTCTCAACATGGAAATGGAAAGCACAATCTTTGGCCAGCACTTTAAACAAACTCAACAAAAAACAGCAAGATCTTCTAAATCCCAGTGGTTTAAATGATGAGATCCTCATTTAGAAAGAGCAAACTAAACAATGTTTCATGGCACTAAATATTTGGGGAAAATGTCTATTCTATGTTGAAATTGTACATAATTACATTCTTAAATTATGGCCCTCTTTAGTATGAACACAAAGGAAATGTACAAAATTCTAAAATAGCATTTCCCAACAAGTATTTGGTTTTAATTTTGGTAAGTTGCCAGTATCGTACACATCGCAATGATCTTAGTTTAGCATATGTTGATGAACGTTTTGCTCAACATGTCAAACACAATTCTGAAAAAAATTAAGTTGATAGCAAATAATCAATAATAGACCTGACAATGCTTTTAAACAAATTGCATTATTCAGTCAGAAGAGTTAATCAATACAATTGGCAAGAGAATACATATCCAATAAGGATTTGTGGCTCTTTATTTTTTTTTAAAAATCACAAGCAAATCAGTTCTAGGAAATTTTAAATTAAACCCTGTAATAAAATCACACACTTCTGTTTACCAAGGGAACTTACAAAGTCTGAATGCATAGTTAAATTCTGTATTTATAATGCACGAGGAATGGTTTTCAAAATTTCAGAAAGTGCAACTGATGTGAGTGATCAGTCATAAACCTGTGTGAACATTACTACAGACTAGCCTTTGCAAATCCACAGTCACACAAATATATAAATGAAGGGATATGTATAGCATTTCCACAAATACATGACTAGTTCAGTTAACATTAAGAAAAGAAACTCACAAAAGACAAATGCATAGATCAGCACATAAACACAGCTACAAGAAGCTGATGACTTGGATTACAATTTCACGCAATACTGGCAAGAGCCAAGGCTACCCGTTACTTCTGTGTCTTGTACCTTTATGTCATTCTGTATCGTCTCAGAACCTAAAGCTTTGTCTATCATACAAGATTCCTGCATAAAAACTGAAAGACCATTAGATTATGGCTGTACAGTTATACGCATCTACATAGAAAAAAATCAACCAATCTCTCAAACCACAGTATCTATTCTTCAGCATTTAAAATGCCAACTAGGCCAACCTTCAAGATAATTCGATACAAATTCATTTACTTTTTCAGAGATTGTGAAGAATATGGTTGGGGGAAGAGGATAGATACTCTTTTCAGACAGAATATAAATATTTACAATAAATGAAAGCAGTTCATCATGTTGTGTAAGCAAATTACTTGGCCTCCTTCACATCTTCACTCCCTTGCACAATCAATAAAACTTTTCTCAAATACGATACAGTAAAACCCTGGATTTTTTAACATTAGTAAATAAATCTGAAGGTAGCTACCTGACAGGGATTAATATTTTGATACAGCCATAGCTGCATTTTTAAATAGTGTCATATCCAGAGACCCACAAAACAGATGTAATTTTGGACAATAATGGCCTACAATGTAAATTAGAAAATTGAGGAAGAAGAGCTATGCAGATAATAGAAAAAGTTACACTATGAAACATGACTGCATGTACTGTAAATATGCAAAATATACTTATATATTTTAGGATGCTAAGTTTTTCCTACTTCTAAATAAGATAGAGACTTCCCAAGGTGCCTTAATCAGCAGCTGACAATTTTCAGCAACAATTTTATACGCAAAAGCACCTACTTCAGATTTGCAAAAATGGATACTAAGTATCTCTGATCAGTAATAATTACTATAATCCAATATTGAACAGTTGCTTCTTGCTTCAGTCTAACAAGTGTTTTATTTCAAAACCTTTATCTTCAGAGTCACATTTACAACAGACTTTAAAAACACTGGAATGCACTGGGAAGGAGTTAAGTTCAATCTGGTTAATCAAGGTTTTGCTGTATTATATAGCTATGGACACATTATTTTGTACAAAACACAATGAACTGCTGCAAGAAATTTGGCTAGACTGTCAAATTAGAATCGTGTTGAAAAGTGGCAAGTCCCAAGCTATGTGAAAACGGTTTCAGCTGCCCCAGGAAATCTCATAAGATATACAATGCACTGCGTAGTTTGAGATACACTATGGTACAATCTTTAAAGTCTTTAAAAAAAATAAACATCCATATACAATTATCACAAAATTCAATATTTAATCTAATCAATAAAAGCTTGAAGAGTTTTTAAGCACTCAGAAATCTGGCAGTAGTTGCAACCCGTTTACAGATGGCAGCCATGCCCAACTCTTGCTAGACAATTGCATGTCTGTATGCTTCCTCCCACTTGTACTTCATCCAGCAATCTTCGTCCAAAGGATACACTCACGGCACTGTAAACTGAAGTGCTCTGCTTTAAGTCAATGGATGAGAGAAGGCTCTATTCATGCAGGTCTTTGCACTGATAGGCGCAGTTCACTTCTAAAATGCTACATTAGCCAGGGACAAGGCTAGGTACCTGTAAACATTAGTATTCCTCTGTACCCACTACTGTCACAGTAGTGTGGACTCATGGAAGCCATTTCTATTGTTTCAGATTCCCAATGTTGGTGTCAAGAGGTGAAATGCTTCCTTTGTCTACTGGCTACAAAGGAGATGCATTGGCTTGAGACTTCAAGACTGCATCATAAAGTTCAATTTTAAGTCCCCAACTCTGCTATGTGAACATAATCTCTGAATTTCTATGTTATTAGGGACTGAAAATAAATGGCTATTTAACTCTTGAGAAATCAAGATTAGGTTCTATAAGTAAAAAGACATCACTGATGTCATAGTAAAAAAATTCAAACTTCCAGTGAATGACTGAACAAACTTGATGGCTCACCCACCAAGTTCACTGTTACTGCATACCACCATTCCAGAAGAAGTTTCAATGCAGAAGTCACTCTGATTGTAGAGCTGTGTGCTGGTGTAGTGCATGGGGATTGATGAAGCCATTTGCTTCACTACCAGACAAGCTGCTAAAATCTGCAACGGAAACAGACATTTTGGCACTAGTGATGTGATGTGTACGATTCTCGAAATCCACACTCAGGTTATTTACAGAAACGTCATTGATAAAAGATTCTTGGACAGCGATCCCCATTTTCAATCTCTTTGCAGGTCTTTCAGATTCATCGTTGCACATGCTTATCTGGTTTAAATCAGAATGGTAGAATCCAGTCTCAAATAAATTTAGACAGTCTGTGTCACCATTCGCAGGCAAACCAAGTGACTCTTCTATTAAAACAGGCACATGCGTAGTTGGTCCCTTTGAGTGTAAACTGTCCAATGGAGGAAAATTATAGGAATCCAAACAGTTTACATCTGTCACACTGCATGCTGTACCAACACTGGTCAGTGCTAAAAGAAAAACAAAACATTAGTTTCCTTCAAATTCATAAAGACGGTCTAAAATAGCTTCCTAGTTTAGTGATTATAAACTGTGAAAGATAGAAATAATATAGGAGCTACTCGAATCTACATGTACTAATATACATGGACCTGTTCTCTACAAACAAAGAACATAAACCATTATATGCCTCTTTCAATTTAAGAAAACAGCTGACAACCACTTTTTGGTCCATTTCTCAGGCTAATACTTTGAAAAATGATCTATAATGATTTAAATCTAAACAAAGCTCTACAGTTAGCTGTCAGTCATCATTTAATTAGTGCATTCAACATGGTAATACCTCTACCAATCAGAATCCACTTGCCAACTAGCCAGCATTCTCTTCTCATGCAGGATAAAATGTTGGTTTCCTTTTACATAGGATAGTTTGCAAAAAAAATTACCACAGAAGCGCGAGGCAGAAAAGCATTGACAAAACACGTTTTCGCAAACAATACCGTTTATAGAATGGCCGTATACATAAAACACCTTGAATAGAGTATTAGGTCTAATTCCAGTTTAGGAAGGATGTGAAAACATTTGAGAGTGTGCAGAAAAGATTCACAAGACTAGTTCTAAGGATGGGGATCTGGTTCTTGGCCTAAGTAACTTGAATTACTAAGATAGATTTGAGATGATGAGACTGGTTTCTTTTGTAAAAGAGTGAAAGTTGATTTGATAGATGTATTCAAAATCATTAGGGTTTGAATAGAAAAAGAGAAAAATTGCTCCCATTGGTCAAAGGATCGAAAACAGGAGAACATAAATTTAAGATAACAGGCAGAAGACAAAATACCTGAAGATAAATCTTCTCACGCAGCAAGTGGTTAAGACCTAGAATGCACTAGGTTCAAACAAGGTATTTAACGGAATTATTATTTGAAAAGATAGAATGCTCAGGGTTAAGGGAAGAAAAAGTACTGCTGAGAAAAAGGCAATTTGTTGAAGTCTTGCATCTTGCACTCATCACGACAGTTGATAAGAAATTCAAAGGGAAAACCAGTGTTTATACTACATTTGAGTACCATTTAAACACACTGTCCTCTCATGCAGTACAATGTTGGTTCTTTCTTTCACTTAATTCACAAAAATACCAGAAATAGCTTCAACAATAATCTTTTTTTTCAGGTATACTCAAATTTGATATGACCAAGTAATTGTTTGGTAGAAAAAGTGGAGTTATGGCACTAGATTAATTGCTCCTTGAATGTGCTGAATAGTCTTTTGAGCAATTCTGAGATTAATGTTTGAAATTCCAAGGAATAGAAGCCTGATGTATTAAGCTCCTCTTAATCTAACTCTTGTAACCCAGATGCATAATGGATAATATGGGCCTTAAAAAGTGTGTAATTTGTGCAATGTCCAGATCCAT